AGCGAGCAGATCAATTATACCTCTTTTTTTCGAATCTACACGAGTCAGCCCATTTTACATGAGCAAAAACACCCTCATACTATATATCCAAATTTGTTCTTGTTATTCACGAAAAGAATATAGCAAATAAAAACTTTTCTCACCCACAAAATAGATATTTATAATCATTTATTGGGTGTGAAATCAGACATGAACTCTGATATTATATTATATTGCATTTAACATATTATGAGTACATATCGTATTTCAAGTCATTTTTTTCTGATCGAAATATTTAGACTCTTTTTTCTTAGAAAATTTTAGTTTATATCATTAATTTTTATCTATCATTCAGTTTAGAATCATATAGATCATATTGCTGAAGACAATAACTAGTTGTTTGTCTTGAAGATAAAAATCTTATTATATTCTCTATAGAATGGCATTAAAATGAGCGAAAGAAAATATGTCAATCGTATGGAAATAGCGAAAAGTATATTTTTCCATAAATTTTTTTGTTTTGAGTTTTAAAATTCAGTTAGTGATATTTTATTCCTCCGTTTTCTTGTGTTATCTATTTTCACTGCCTAGCGTTTTTCGTCAATAGTATCATCGCCCAATCTAGCTAACGGAATAAACACAAAGGACACAAAAGATATAACGAAATAAAGATACGCCATATCTTATTTTTTTCCATTGCATACCACTTGTTGTTAATTTAGTATAAATTTCGATGACATCGAATACAAGCAGCGTATCCTTTACCATCTCTAATAAAGGCAGTCCTCTGCTAATTTTAAACGATTTTATATATCGAGTAAAAAAAGAAACAGTATTAAAAAGATATTAGATTTGTGAAAGAATTGGATACAATACGTATATACAAAAAGGTTTTTGAAATCGATGCCTATCTATTGTTTGATGGCTTCCCATTCGCCATAGTCAAACGAAAGAAAGAAATATTTTCTTTTTATTAATTTACTAACTAATTATGCTTCATTCATTTCATATTTTGATGTACTTAAAATTTTATCAGTCAATATAAAATGTTCATCTTAGCAGTCTAAAAATATTAAAATAAATTTTTTCGCTATTTTTTCCATTCGACATTTTTTCTTTCGCTCATTTTGATACATACCTCTCTATATATTTGAAATTGAAAATTTCTTATTTCTATCTTATTGAATATCGTATTTTCAAGAAAGTAGATAATGTATTTTCTAGTTTACAGTATACTATACCGTTGCATACATTTACAAAGATGACGTCAGTTAACATATCATCATCAAGCCGCAACACCCAAAATATCCACTTCATCACCTCAAACAAATGTCAACCGTTATCATGGTAGTGAATGATTACATATATAAGTTTAATAGAAAATAAACGTGGGTGTAGCATTACAAAAACGAATCGACACACCCGCATAAACGTTTAATTAATGCGTCTGATCTTCTTCCTGGTCTCTCTGTTTCATCGTGGCTAGAGAAAATTGGTCAATTAACTTATCGAACACTTTATTTTTTCCGATTCTTCTTTTTCTTTTATTGAATACACATAGCTTAAATACTTAGTTTTTTATATCCTCAAAAACAAACATATACAGTAAACCGTCTCTATAATGAACACTAACGGGACCCTTGAAAAAGTGTTCATTAACTGAACTCTTGCATGTATACAGTTCATGTTTAGTAATACCGATTGGTGTCTATACTACGCATCTTGCGCATCAGAATTCGCCACAAATAACTTAAAGCAAAAACAAAGAGTATTTCTTTCATCTGTTACAGATATCTATTTAATTTCTATGATTCTGTTGACTGAATTCATCTCGTAGATTGCGCTTCTTAGTTGAACTATCATTTTGTTCATAACTTTCAATATACTCGACCTTGCGCTTGATAATGTTATAGATACACTGCCGATTGAGATCTTATATTTGTCAGCAAGTGTACGGTACGAAAACTTCTCTTCATTTTCACGAATCAACTGTATCTTTTGCAGAGAGGGGGGTTAATGTGTGTTTCGTTGTCATCAATAGACCGCCGATTGATTAGTGTAACACTGTTTAAGAATACAAGTTATATTCTTCTTTTTAAATTTTCATCTCTTTTTTCTCTTGTTGCACACACAAACTTATAAATTGTTGCCGCGTGTGTTCATTTTATAGAGGTTTTCTTAGCTGCAGGGACCAAAACAAGCGTTCATTGTTCAGATTTGGGAGGTGTTCATTATATAGAGGTTCATTTACAGCAAAAATTGATCGTGGGGGAGGGGCGAGATACGCGTTCAAATAGGAGGTGCTCACTTATAGAGGTTTTACTGTAATATATAACGATTTATTTCTTATATATGCGACTCATGCACATAAATATGAGAAATTTGTTAATGCAATTTCAATGTTTTCCGTATATGAGCTTATTATGCGTACGTTGTATTATTTTCCTATGATCAGAATATTTGTTTGCTAGAATCTTTTTCGTTTTCTCTTAAATAGTACATTTCTTACTTCTAGAAGTGCCAAGAAGTACGTTCCTCGTAAAGGACGAGATTAGATAGGGGTTATATAAACCACTGGACGTCCGCTCATAAGTCATAGAACTAATGGACATCCTTGTATATGACGACACATAATCACCCTCAAGAACAATACGTAATCATTCCCTGTATCCTTTTCTTTCTCTATATCATTTTCTCCCTATACGTATATCTTCTCTCTCTCTCTCTCTCTCTAGTATATAAACTCGCGTTATATGTGAAATAGACAGCAGTATAAGAAGAGTAATATTAGAGCAGTCTCCTTCGCGGATCGTTACCTTGTCGTGGTGAAGGGGCTTGCGTATCTCGATGACGTTGTGAACTAAACCGTGGGGAGTGCTCACTCCCGGCAGGGTCACCCATGACGGGCAGAACACAACCGAGAGATCAGACTAAATACGATCCACTGGATAAGGAAATGGCAACCCACTCCAGTATTATGACGTGGCTGGAACAAAGCCGAAAGGACATCCAGCTACTGACGCATCTAGTGTCAAAAGGGAAATTCGATGCTGTAAAAAGCCGCATACAATCGGAACTTGGAACATCAGAACAATGAACCAGGGTAAACTTGACGTTGTCAAAGGAGAAATGTCAAGAATAAACATCGACATTCTCGGAATTAGTGAATTGAAATGGACAGGTATGGGTCATTTCATATCAGATGACTACCACATATTCTATTGTGGACAGGAAAATCATAGAAGAAACGGTGTAGCCATAATCGTTAATAAAAGGTTGTCTAACTCAGTGCTTGGATACAACCCCAAAAATGACAGGATAATATCAATTCGATTATTAGGCAAACCGATTAATGTCACAGTGATTCAAGTCTATGCACCTACTACAGGTGCAGATGACGAAGAAATAGAAGACTTTTATGTCAGCTTGCAGCAACTCGTTGATGCAACACCAAAAAAAGATACCATTGTCATCATGGGCGGTTGGAACGCCAAAGTAGGAAGTAAACCAATAACTGGTATAACTGGAAATTTTGAACTAGGAGATCGAAATGAAGCAGGAGACAGACTATTGGAATTCTGTCAGAACAACTTGTTTATAACAAATACGTGCTTTCAACAGCCTAAAAGACGACTCTACACATGGACGTCCCCGAACGGACAATACAAAAATCAAATCGATTACATACTTTGTAGTCAAAGATGGAGAAGCTCCATCCAACTAGCTAAAACAAGACCTGGTGCTGACTGTGGCTCAGATCATGAACTGCTTATTGCTAAGTTTCCAATGAAACTAAAGACAACATGCAAAACAGCTAGACCAGCACGGTATAATCTGAGCAACATTCCGTGTAAATATGCAGTGGAGGTTAAGAGCAGATTTGACGGACTAGATTTGATTGACAGAGAGCCAAAAGAGCTCTGGTCTGAAATTCGGGATATCATCAAGGATGAGGCAAACAAAAACATACCAAACAACAAAACGCCAAAGGCGGAATGCAAAAGGCAGTGGAGATAAGAAAAGGTTTTCTTGACTGAATGCCGAATTCCAATGGAGGGCAAGAAGAGACAAAGAAAAACATATAAATGGTCAATGTCAACAAATCAAAGACAACAATCAAAAAGGAAAGACAAGAGACCTTTTAAAAAAAATTGATGAAATCAAGAGAACATTTCATGCAAAAAATGGCACAATAAAAGATAAACAAGGCAGAGATCTGATGGAGAAGGAGGACATCAAGAAGCGGTGGCGCGAATACACCGAAGAGCTATACAAAAAAGATACTCAAAGTATAGATGAAACTGATGGTTCAACTATCGAACTAGAACCAGGCATGTTGGAAAGCGAAATCAAGCGGGCTTTAGAATGCATAGCGAATAATAAGGCTCCAGGTATTAATGAAATACCAGCTGAATTATTTAAAATCTTGGGGGATGATGCCGTGAAAATTTTGCTCGCAATATGTCAGCAGATATGGAAAACACAGCAATGGCCAAAATATTGGAAAAGATCAATTTATATTCCAATACCAAAAAAAAGGAAGTACTAAAGAATGTTCCAACTATCGGACGATTGCACTCATTTCACACGCTAGTAAGATAATGTTCAAGATTTTGCAAGCCCGATTGGAACAATATATGACACGAGAACTTCCAGATGTACAGGCCGGGTTTAGAAGGAGCAGATGCACCTGAGATCATATCGTCAATATTCGGTGGATAATGGAAAAGGCAAGAGAGTTTCAAAAAGATATATATATATTTGCTTCATAGACTACACGAAGGCTTTCGATTGTGTAGATCACAACAAACTATGGACAGTTCTTAACGACATGGGTGTTTCAAAGCATCTCATCTGCCTTCTGAAGAATTTATACACCGATCAGGAAGCAACTGTAAGAACCGAATATGGTTTGACCGAATGGTTCAAAAACGAGAAAGGAGTACGCCAAGGCTGCATACTCTCGCCTTGCCTATTTAATCTATCCGCAGAATATATCATGGAATTAGTACAGCTTCGCCGAATTTTATTTTCGCCGAATAAAATTTTGACCGAAAAATCTTGAATCAAAATTGATCCATTCTAGATATAGAATTTTATCATAACTAACTACTTTAATAGTGACTTAGTAACACCCACCCACACCCACAATAAGTAATACTATAGAAGATGCAGAATTTAAAGGGCTTTCAGAAAATAACCAAACTATTTTGGGATGGCATGATCCAGCGTGAGTATTGTGAAAATACTGAGAAATTCTCATTTTAACCAATCGAAATGTTTATCTGTATATTGGTAATATCTACTGATATATGGCTCTGTATAAATAAATCAGTCAGTAGGTTTTGTAGAGAAAACATTTCTCTATCTTTTGAGACATTTCCGAAGTCAAGCGATTGAGCGGACGCGGAGAAAAGTATAAAATACTACTGACACTCTAAAAACTTCACTTTTTGACCAAATATAAATGATGCATAACTTGCAAACGCTGGCATTTTTCTCCGGCACATCAGAAAGATCTAATATTTTGGATTCACTTATGGTTTGGCTAGACCTTCGATTTAAAATAGTTAAATCGAAAATCAAAATTTTATCGGCGGTTGACTCCTAGCAAAGTTGCTAAGTGGTTTCTGTTATATCCCGAAAGTAAGATCTCATCATATTCGAATACTAGGGATCAGGATCTCTCTCTGTTTTGTTATCTTTCGTCTTTTCTGTTGGCTATCTCTGTCTCTTTCAAAGACTAGAGGTGAGAGTCGAGTGAACTTATTCGACCCCCGTCTTGTTCCAGATACTGTTATTCACCTTAGGTTCTATGTAGTTCGTTTGGCCATTATGAGGAAAATTTTGCAAAAAAGCACATGGTAGCTTTACTATGTGATTGAATTCTTTTCTCATAGTATTTTGATCTATAATTGAGTGATAAATATTGAAGGTTTTGGTAATAGTTATACTTTTCGGTAAGAGTTACGTTTTTGGTTCCGACTTCGGTCTTGCAAACCCATGTTTTAAAAAGAAAGCCAGTCATGTCATCAGTGGCTAACTACCTATCGACTCGTAAACAAAGAATAGGGTGAATTGCCATTTATCGCGCGAGACGAAGGGTGACAGTCAAAAGCAAAAGTCGAACGCATATGATGGCTAGAAGAATAATTTCTATAATGATTAAACGAAGGGCATAAGATTAGCGAGCACTATCCTACGGGATTAGAAGACGTTGATTGATATTTTCCTGTTGAATAATTGTTATCATTTCCATAAGTGTCTCTTTTATGCTATGAATATGATTTCGCCTTTCTTATTATTGCTTGAATTACTATTTTGAAAAATAAAAGATGAATAGTAATAGTGGCATATATTTAGAAACTAATAATCATGACCAAGTTTTCAGAGATTCGCCTTGGTACTTCAAATATCTGTTGGGAAACTCTCGAGTATTTTGAAACATGTATTTGGCGTCGAGTTTAGACAGAAATGAAGAGCACATTCAATTAATTTTGCATAAATTACACTAACTTCGTTCGTCTATCGGTTGATAAATGGTGCTCTTCGCACTGGTAATCCTGATTTCATCCACTCATATCGATTTTTCATTAATGACCTTTACACCGAGCTTCTATCAATTGATCGACAAGATTGTGAAGACTATAGTGACCTAGTTGTCTACCGTGGTCAACACATAACGACAGTAAAACTAAAGTATCTTCAAGCATATGTTGGACAATCAATGGCTATATAGTTTCACTTCTACTACGATCGACCGTAACTTAGCGTTCTCCTTTGTCACGCCACGAGAAAAAATGATCAGTGTTCTTTTCGAAATTCATCTTAACACCACTCTCGATAAGACACGTCCATTTGCCTATGTAGCTTCACACAATGCTATGTCTGAAGAATTTGAAGTTCTGATTGCTGTGGGCACTATTTTCGAAGTCGTGTCTGTTACTTGTTGCCCTGGCAACGAGATCTGGATGATTATTGTTAAGCTCTGTGAACAACACAATCAAGATATCAAAACAACTTATTCCTCAGAAAACAGTACTATTTAGTAAGATTAAAGCGCTCGCTTTCCGACGTTCTTCAGAGCCAACTACAAATAAATTCGAGGCCAATCTAAAAACATTCAATTCAATATGCAGATTTCACAACGAAAAAATAGAAAAAACGGTGTCTCTGTCCTCATTGGTTGAAAGAGTGATGGAGTATCCAACTAGACGTGCTAAATATGTGTGTAGCAACCATGGTTACACTGAAAGCATAATAAGATGCAACATGGAGCCATTTCAACGAAAACGCCAACGCCCCAAATCGGCATTTTGCCCGCATGCTTGTGCTTTTTTTTGTTCCTCGCTACGACGACGTCACTCACGTCCAATTTTCGCCACGATACCGAGGGCATTTTCTTTGTTTAAATGTTGTCCCCGATTCCTACTTGAAATGATGGAAAATGTCTCAACTGCAAATGGCAACAATGATGATGATGAACCAACTCCGCTTTTTGAGGCTAACATACACACTGCACTTGCAGTGTTCATATATTGGAAAGAGGTCGATGGTGTGCTGAATATTGATAAATACGTTTGAACTAGGTATAGAACAAACTCGAGTATCTCCGGATTTGAAGGTTCGATTATATGGCTTCAACCTTTTGTTTATGATACGTTACGATGCATGTGTCGCTTGATTTAACACTCCTACTTGACAACAGGAATTGTATATCTTAACATGCATTGCTGGGTTATTAAGATATTACTAACTTGTCAACTTAAAGTATTCATACGTTTACTATGTCTGTAAACAAAGGAGGAAGTTGGATTAGGCTTTTCCCCAGCTTCTTAGATAAGGGAAAGCATGACACTTTTTTTATTTTGAAGTACGGTAAAGTACACTAGATTACTTCGGAGTATTCCAAATTAACTGAAAGTACCTGAAGCACAAAATATTATATTTTCCATTTGCATTTAACACAAAACCAGAAGGTTCAACTTTTGCCATACGACATTAGAATTAACATAGAACATTTTTCACGGGCAACTTCACGGAAATTTCATTATTATCATGCAAAAACCATGAGCCCGTGGTCGGTGCTTATCTATAGTTTCTCTCCCTATATAAAAGGATTCATTTATTAACTTTCGTCTATGATGTTGACACAAATTATATGTATAGTGTACAAATGCTTGTGCGCTCGAAATATACGAACATGTAAAGTCTATTTTCAAATGAATAATGTCCTTAGTTATATAATAATTTAGAAGTTTAATTGTATCTTCTAACCTTGAAAAATATTGTAATGATGCAAGTCTATGTAAAAAGAAAATTGTCACCAAACGAAATTCATCTTCAACTACTTGATATAACTGATGTATAATGAACTTGATTTTGATGAGTCGATGTTGATGGCACATCGTAATGATGATTCGTATTAATCTTTGTGCCAAGCAATGTTGCTAATTGTTCATCAGTAAAACACGTTTTTGTTGTTGATTTTGGATAATCATAATGTGATGATGATGATGATGATATATAATTATCTTGCACGGATGCATACTGTGGTTGATAACCCGTTGATACAAGAAGATTTGGATCACAGCCAATATCTTGTAAAACTTTTTGAATACTATCTGTACGTCGAAGTGATGAACCAAATTTTGCACGATAAATTTGTGGATCCACACGAAAACAGCCCACATTTTGAACATCTTGTTCTACCCGTACATGCGCAGGTTCATATTGTAGAATAAGATTTCGTTGTGTTCGATGAGTTTGTTCTGGTTGTGGTACTCGCTCATAAATAATTGGTCGTTCTGGTGGCGTTTTATAGGGTAACCATTTTTCAATAATAACCGGTCGAGGTTTAGCTGGTAGAGGCGGAACACGTTTAATAATAACACGACGTGGTGGTATCGGCGGAGGTGGTAAAGTTTTAGTAATAATAGTTGCCGGTTGATGTCGAGGTGGAGTTGGTGGTTGTTCACGAACAATCCATGGCGATGGAGTACGTGGTGTAATTGGTCTAGGAAAAAAAAGAGAAAATTTAAAGGATAGATAATTTGTTGCGAAATATCTTACGGTGTTGATGAAATATAGAGTGGTGGTGGATCTTGAGGAGGTGTTGCTCGCACTTCTCTTACAATGATAGGTTCCGGTGGTGGTGGCGTAGGCGGTTTTAAATAGCGCACGCCAATTTTTTGAATATAAACAAATTTATCTGGATTATCACGATAGACAATTTCTGGATCGGGATCATAATTAAGTGGAATACGAGCTAAATTTTCAGCACAATACGAGTCAAATTTTGGTCGTGAATTTTGATTCGATAAATATTCATCGCATTGTTGATCGTCGAATGAAACTTGATGAGATTTTTGTCTTAGTTGTTCATTTTTATCATCGTTACTAAAAGAAATTTGTTGATTTTGAATCCGATCGAAATTATAACGTTGACAATCCGACCATTTTGATCCTTGTTTTCGAGTAATATCTTCTTGTTCTCGTCGATATTTATCTGGAAAAAGACGAGCATATGCAGATTGTGGTCCTGTAACAAGATTCACACGTCTTATTGGACTTTTTTCTAAATGTACTGTTGTCATTTCATCGGTTGTTGAATTGGCTTCTTTATTTATGCTTGTTGTTGTCGTAGTAGTTACTGTTTGTTCGTAGAAATGTGGTACAGATGAATGTGGTGTTTGATGAAACCACTCTGTACGTAGTTGACAAAAACGTTGTTGGCCATCGTCATCAACAATTTCATTCGTCTGATTGTTAGTATTCATTTTTTTTCTTCGTCTTTCTTGAGTATTATTCAATGAGAAACTGACGGCTACCTTGAACACGTTGTTCTCTTCTTTTCTGTCGTACTACCTCGTCGTTTAAAGCAATTACTTTTGTGATCGTAGAGAATCAATTAAGATGGCCATGACGTGATAAATGGAAGTATATAGACATAAGCAACGTGCCTGTTACGCCTGAATAAATTCACTGGTGTAACGTGTGTGTGGGTGTGTGGGTGAATGATAAAATATTGTTTCAATCGTATATTTCTATCGACTAATAAGTTAGTAATTTTTGAGATGTACAATGAACAAGAAATCGATGTTTAATATTGATTAATTGAAAATGATTTTTTTATTAACTTATTAAAATTTTCGATAAAAGTAATTGTTGATAATAGGCATAGTTAGAACCAAGATTTTAATAGATCAATTTACATTTTTCTAAAGAAAAATACTTGAACGAAACTTGTAATTTTCTCATTGAACTTATTGGAATTGTATAAGATATCTATCTTATCCGGAACTTTTTTTATTCTTCTAATTAAATCAGTTCATATTTATTTTAGTTTAGTATCAAATTTCTATTTAAAAAAATCTAGTCAAATCTAAAAAAGCATAAATCTCGATATTTTATATTTATTCATCTTAAAAATGTAATTGATTCGTTTTTCGCATAGAGAGTGAATTTGTTCGATTTGCGCGTCTCATCCATGGAGTTGAATCAAGTAAATGTCTAACCGATAATGCACTATCTATGGCATCTGTATTTCTGTCTTCGGGTATCGCTTCCATAGTAGCTAAACTAACTCGTCGACTATGATGAGGTAAAGTATACAGTGGTAATTCATCATTCGGATCGCCAAATAAATGATTTTCAAGATGGTTCGATTCGTTTTCGTTACTAACATCTATGGCAACACGTGATAGACGACGTTGAGCATAGGCTGGTATATGTGGTTGATCAAGTTCTTTATCCAGTTCTTTTAATGAAACATCAAGAACTATTTTTCGTCTACTCGACTTCGATGTAACATCAATAAAACGATGCAATAATTTGTGGGCGTAATTTTTTGATTTTATATAATGAATAATAGCAATCAACACATGTAAAACAACAGCAACGACAACTAATGCTGGAACGAGATAACCTGATTTTGTTTCATGATGTGAACCGACTACTTTTTCACCCAATGTAAATTCATAACAAGCGTAACGAGGATTAAATATTGTTTCGTATTCATCAATAAATGAAAGACATGTAACATAATCGTCTTCATGTAAACCAATTATACGCAACGAATTATGTATATGATGAAGACGTTGTCGCGGCAAATATTCATTACCACTAAACGAACCAAATGAACGAAAATTAAAATAATAATATCGATAGTCTTTCAACGTTGAATTAAAAAGATCGAAATAAATCACGACAACATTGTCACGCTTAGATACTGTATGACCAAATGTTAGACCAAGATCATTCGTTGGAGCAGTATTAGATTCAGAACTAGTGGTTTTACTATCACTATGTCCATAGATCAATGGAATGGTTAGAAAAATACGAGTTATTAAAAGAAAATGCATTGTTCTAGATCAATACGAGAGAGAAAAAATGAATCGAACTGGTTTTATGATGAAAATGCCATTGACATCTCTCGAAAGTTCACTATTGATAGATAATTTGTTTCTGTTATTTGAAATAATAGAACACATTTTTGCAATGAATAATGACGATCAAATAGTCAATATTTACCTATTGACAAAGAGGAAATGTGTCAAATATTAAGGCTATAGATGATGCGACAATACATCGACTGTGTCTTTTGAAGACGCTATCGATGCTTCATCTTTTTAAAAGTGACTTTTTGATCTTTTTTTCAATCGATATTCAAAATTGAACATATACTCGCTGATATATAGCTACCATTGCCGAACTGCTTCCTTCTTTTTCATATTACTCTATTCAAGTAGCTAAAGAATGACTCATGTAAACATATCAACCATCACATTTTCTTTGCTTATTACATTTGTCAATAATATAAATAAGGTTGGCAAAAAAACAAGATTCAATAGAAATGAGTAATAGACAAAATACCGAAAAGCCATTTTCATCTACGGAACCTCTTCCGTGGCGTCTGTTGGATCCCGGCTTATGTCTTGAAGGTATTTGTTTGAGAACAAATGGAAAATGTGTTGCACATAAACAAATGGTCATTGGCACACTAGAAATGGGCAAATTTACCATTTCTCGTAATTATATTTTCAAATGTCCTATGTGTGAAAATAATGTGCGCGCTAACAAATTTGGTTTAAATCGTTGTCAATGGCGAATAATACATACTAATAAATGGTTAAGTGTTGGTGATGTTTACGAAAAATATGATTTAAGTTCATTACCAATAAACATTGAGACTCAACCTTTGCCTAGTGATTTTGAACCACCTGAGAACTGTTCAATATGTTTAGCATTAATGGATAAAAAAAATCAATGTTTCATTTTACCATGTAAACATATATTTCATATGGAATGTATTCATGGTTGGATTGATGCTGAAGAAGATGCATCACTTCAATGTCCGATTTGTCGACGACCGATTTTTGAGTAAACATTTGAATAATATATATATATATATATATATGTTAATTTATGAAATAGAATATTCATAAAAACTTTCAATAAATTTATCACAGAATTTTATAAAGAAAACATTTGTATGACGATCGAAACAAATTTTAATCATGCATCAAAAGGTGACGCCATCTACATTATTGCTTCTTATTTATAAGTAAAAAATACCAATCGAATACTTCAAGTCTGTTGCCCGATAGAGCTCTTATCATTAAATATAACCTTTTTTTATTAAGAAAATTTAATAAAACAAGAGCCCTTGATATATCTGTTTCTTTCTTGTGGCAGCTATTTATTTGTCCATATTTAAAATCCAACAAAAACCGTTGGCTGTTTCTAGAGAGGCATAGTATACGAAAAAGAAAAGAAAAGAAAAGAAATATATATATTGACTGCTTCTAAGTCTAGTTATACAGAGTCTTTCGATTTTGGTTTTTTTAGATCACTCGAATATAAACGTGAAAATGACGGACAACAACACGGTTACTACTTTGGAACGTATTGCAAATTTACTTCGTATTCATAGTATTGAAGCAACACAAGCATCTAATTCAGGGTTTGTTTTATTTATTGTCTAATATTTCCTTATTGATTTCTATTTATTAAATAGTCATCCAACTAGCTGTTCCTCAATGGCTGAAATTACTAGTGTACTTTTCTTCAATGTGATGCATTATGATCCAAGGGATCCACGTAATCCAGCTGCTGATCGTTTTGTTCTTTCAAAAGTAAATCAAGCGATTCTTTTTTTCTGTATCAAAATGATAAAAATAACATTTATTAATATATAGGGACATTGTGCACCAATTCTGTATGCAGCCTGGGCTGAAGCTGGTGCTTTTCCTGTAGCAGACTTGAAAAATCTACGAAAAATTGATTCCGATCTCGAAGGTCATCCAACACCGGTAGGCTTCTTTGTCTCCAGATGATTGTAATTGTTGTTCTTTTAGCGTTTAAATTTTATTGATGTTGCAACTGGTTCATTGGGTCAAGGTTTAGGTTTTGCATGTGGTATGGCATATGCTGGAAAATATTTTGATCATTCTGATTATCGAGTTTACTGTGTACTTGGCGATGGTGAGTTTACTCGGCTTGTTCTTTTTTTTATTCATTTAAAAAATAAAATATTGCTTTATTTTAGGTGAATGTTCGGAAGGTAGTGTTTGGGAATCATTCGCTTTTGGTTCATTCTATAAACTTAATAATCTTTGTGCTATTATCGACGTTAATCGACTTGGACAAAGTGATCCAACGCCGTTACAACATGACACGGAGACCTATCGTAAACGTGTTGACGCTTTTGGGTAACAAAAAGAAAGATGTTTGCTTTTTCATTTGATAAAACAAATAATTTAGATGGCATCCGATTGTTGTTGATGGACAAAATGTCAGCCAGTTACTCGATGCATTTAAAGAAGCATCAGAAACAAAAGATAAACCAACATGTATTATTGCCAAAACATTTAAAGGTAGTGGTTTGAAAGGTATTGAAGATGCATTAGATTGGCATGGAAAACCATTGGGCGATAAAGCAGCTGAAAATGTTGCGCACTTACGAGCATTAGTCGATGAAGCAACATTGGTTCGTCCTCAAATTCCAAAAGTTACCGCTACAGTTCCCGAACTTAAAAAAGATAAACAAATTAAATTATCATCACCACCAAATTATGATGGAAAAAAAGAGGTTTGAATAAAGAAAGAATTCATTAGGAAATATTTCATTTTTCTTCTATTTCAATTATTTATAGATAGCTACACGTCTTGCACACGGTACTGCTCTTGAAAAATTAGGTAAAGGCTGTGAATATGCTATTGCATTAGATGGCGATACAAAAAATTCAACTTTTTCAATTAAATTTCGTGTAAGTGACTTTATTCATTACGTCATGAGATTAACTTTTAGTTTATTTCTAAATAAATGAATTATTCGTCGTATAGGATGCGTTTCCAAACCGTTTTGTTGAATGTTATATTGCTGAACAAAATATGGTACAAGTTGCTATTGGCATTGCAACTCGTCAACGTTACATTTCATTTGTTCACACATTTGCAGCTTTTCTTATACGCGCTGCTGACCAAATTCGTATGGGTGCCATATCATTTACACGTGTGAAATATGTTGGTTCACATGCCGGTGTATCGATTGGTGAAGATGGCCCATCACAAATGGCACTCGAAGATTTTGCCTTCTTTCGTACTGTGCCAAATATTGTTTGTTTTTATCCGTCGGACGCTGTCTCAGCTGAACGTGCTGTTGAACTAGCAGCTAATTACGATGGAGCCGTTTATATTCGTACAAGTCGACCTAACTTTCAAATTCTATATAAAAATGATGAAGTTTTCGAAATCGGAAAAGCAAAAGTAAGATAAATATCGATATGAAATTGGGAAAAAAAGAAGCTATCTATTTTTTTTCTCAAGGTTGTTGTTGAATCATCAAATGATGTCTGCACAATAGTTGCTGGTGGTGTTACATTACATGAAGCAATAAAAGCATCAGAAAAACTCAAAGGTCTCGGTAAAGCGGTTCGTATTGTTGATCTTTTTACAGTGAAACCAATCGATCGGGACACAATTCTCAAAGCAGCCAATGCAACACAAAATCGACTTCTCATTGTTGAAGATCATTATAGTGAAGGTGGTCTCGGTGAAGCTGTCATGGCAGCATTAGCTGATCAAACCAACATTAAAATTGCTCATTTAGCAGTACTTGAAGTTGCACGTAGTGGTAAACCAGCTGAGTTATTAAGCAAATATGGTATTGATGCCGAGCATATTGCCAATGCTGTCGAAAAACTTCTTTAGATTTTTGGAAGAAATTTTGAATGAACATTAAGTTGAAAACAAAACATAGCATAGCGTGTATCTTCATGTTATCATAAAAATAAAATTAACTAATATTAGTCTAGATAATTTCTCAGCTTAATGAGCAATACGGAAAGATATCGAATGACTGAAATTGAAATCAATCAGTCAAGCCGAAATCTTGCCCTATCACCACAGAAAAAACCTATACCTGTTCTATTGTGAAAGTCACAAAAAAGACGATTTTATTTGGCTCATAGGCGAACGATTGAATGCGTTTAATCAAAGGACAGGGAGGATATATATTAACGAGTAAAACTGAGAATATCTGTTGTTTGTTTGTTTGTTTTTATTCGAGAGTTTGAATAAAAGATTGATTAAAAATGTATTGTTCTACGATTCATAAAGCGCTATTATTAATAGTATTTTTTATTTTGAATAATTGATAGAAGAATAAAAATAAAAAATGAATTCAACTGTGCAGAATAATAAGAATCCAAAACACGAACATCATTCTCCTCACCATAGATGTTCTCATTTGAATAAAACTTATGAAAAAATTCAACGAAATTCAATTGTTGACAATTCTCATGTCTTATTACCTGATCAAAATGTTCGTGATCTGACTGATGTTTATCGACGTGACAAACACTTTTTAGAACAACAAAGTAATACTACACCACAGAATCAAACAGTAATCGATACCAAGCAAGCTGAAAATTTTGAGTCAAAATATTGTGTTAAAGAAAATTATTATTCTATTCCTTGCACTTGTGATACTTCATTCGTTGGACGAATAATTCAAAGTAAACTCTTGAATAATTTCTCTTCTTCTTAAAACAAGTCTTTTACTAAGATTTTTTCGATCGAATGAAATTTGGTGTTGAATTTTTTCTTTTCATGGGCGACGTTATTCAACATCGTAATCAATTCGTCGAATACAATTATCCATTTATTCCTCATTCCACATGCAGTAATGAAATGGCAACATTGAATGAAATACGCAATCAGCTAAATACTAGACCTACACCAGTAAAACATACCACAACAAGCACATACTATGATATTCACTGATAGAATTATATTACATTTGAAAGTGTGATGCGTTGACGAAAAGAGAATTTCATTTTTATTTATTTCGACAAAATACAAGATTTTAGAAAGGAAAGAGTCCGAAGTGTGAATGTAATATTGTATAGGTGATTGAAATGTAACTATCATAAGAGTGACTGAATCAGTACGGTGGACTTTGTCAATTTTATCACACGATACGTCATTTATGGTAGTCGACAGTTCAAATCAATCATCTCAAGATGACATTCTAAACGAAAAAAAAAATACTAATTGCATAGAACCTGTTAATGTTATGTTTCTTTGAAAATTTTACATACCGACACTGCTCATTATAAATTTGTCTAGGAAAGTGGTATTATAAAATTATTTAGTTGCTTCGATCGCTTTCACGATCTTATCCATCTTCTCTTGCGTATCCGGGAATCCATCACCATCCTAGACAAAATCGATCGGTTAGTTCCATTTTTATTCGAAAATGTTACATTACTTTTTTCGAATGGACTAATTTTCCATCGACGGTAACTTCAAAGAACCCGGTTGTTTCAGGCGTGGATTCGCCTGTCTAAAATGAATTTATTTTTGCGACGAATGCCAATTGAAAAACAAATTGTAATCATCACTTACCACATCAAGGTCTTTAGCGGAGCAAGATTTCTTCAGTTCATCGCTGAACTTTCGAAATTTGCTCCCGTAACCTCATCCACCACAGTAAACAACGTGTACTTTAACCATGGTAGTTTTATCTATACTATTTGTAACTGTTGAAAAAGACGACGCAGTGTGCTGCTGTGTAAGCAAAAGCAACGGTTAGTAATTATACGAAAAATAACTGCATCAACATTACCTTTTATACTTGAGAGCAACGAAAGCTAACAGAAGAAAAAAAGTGCACCGTCATTGTCGCCATTCATTTCTCTCGTTCTCTTGTTTTAGACTAGCTGCTATTTTGTTCGTGTTGATGTCGCTGTGTTCCACGTGCGCTCAAACAAGTTACAATCACTCCCCATAACGTCGCCAAGTGGGAATAAAACACTTCTTCAATTTTATATCAATAATAGTAATAGAGAGCTGATTGTTTTCATTGAAAGAATATCAAGAAGTTGAAATAAAATTTGTGTCACATCACATGAAGTACACTTTACGATACATAACTATTGATAAGAAAAAGAATCGGCTAAAAAAACAAGCTGTAACTTGTTAACAAATCTTACTATCATTTGAGTACATAGTTTATAGTGTGGAACTATGCCAATTGAAACTTGATCAAATCTGTTTATTTTCTGATGATGCAATATAACATTAGTTTTCAATGATTATAGTCGCCTAATTATTGCAAAGGTACGTCAATAGTAAAACTTTATTCCCATCTCCAATTTAAAATAGTTTCATTCAATACTTCGTGTAACTGAATGAAATATATGCTTACGAAACTTATCTGTGAACTAGTTTTAGAGATTATTTGGTTTTCTTATCAAGAGATATAAAATAAATCAATATTGATGAATACACAATTATATAGAGTGATTAGTGCTCTACCACATTGTATACAACTTAAATATTGTCAATGCTTTGTAGAAATACAGCAAATTGAAAAAAACAAGCGAGTAAAATCGAGTGAATCATACTATGTGACATGACAGTCAATAGATAAATCGTTTATTCTCGCTTTAGATTAGTCACCAAAATAAATTTATTTTATGAATAATACTTTAAAATCATTGTGACATTTTCATAATTGCTATTTATAGTCTTTATCAATAGCATGAATAATCGGAAAAAAAAGAAAACAAAATCATAAATATACACGAGCAGAGCAGCAGTTATATCATACTCGAAAATATAAAAAGCAATCGAATAGTATAACTTGGAATTAGTCGGTTATAATGAATAAATTTAGGGTTATATATCTCGAAGATCGAAACAAGTACTTTATTCGCTAATTCGGTTTCTGCAATAAGATATCAGATGTACACTTCCTACTCATCTACTTTTACACCTATATGGCAAATACGATAATCTTTCGAGACTGTATTTAATCGAATCGTCTCATCACAAGAGGCTTCATTCTTCTCGTTTTGAATTCGCTAGCTAGGGTACTTTAAATAATATTTTATACGTTCGGTTTCTTTGGCAACAAGGTGAGGAGGACGGTGCATTAGTTGAATCCACCTCATTCAATATATGCACTCACATGTCAACTCAGTATAGATTTTCCGATTTAATCATGAAAGTCAGACAGACTTGATCTCTTTTTTCATTTTAGTTCATTTTCTGTCCTCATGCTCAAGGTACCAACTAATGCTAGATGGACACAGAATGGTGTGACTGTTGCTGGAGGTAATCGGTCAGGCAGTGCCACCTATCAACTCTCCGGACCTTTCGGTGTCTTTGTTGCTGACGATCAAACAATAGTTATTGCTGATAGTGGAAATCATCGTGTCATCGAATGGAAGACGAATGAAAACATTGGAAAAGTAGTTGCTGGTGATAATGGTCTAGGAAATCGATTGAATCAATTGAATTTTCCTACAGATGTATTGATCGATAGAAGGACAGATAGTCTTATTATTTGTGATCGAGATAATCGACGAGTCGTCCGATGGTCTCGTCGTCATGGTACAACTCAAGGAGAAATTCTCATCGATAGCATTGCATGTAATGGATTGGCTATGGACGATCAAAAATATTTGTACATTTCTGACTACAAAAAGCATGAAGTTAGACGATATCGAATGGGCGATAAAAATGGCATTCTAGTAGCTGGTGGCAACGGCCGAGGTGATGAACTTAACCAGCTCAGTGGGCCCACGTCTATCTTTATTGGTCGACAACAGACTGTCTACGTGTCAGACAATGGAAACAATCGTGTAATGAAATGGATTAGAGGTGCAAAAGAAGGCATTATTGTTGCTGGAGGTCAAGACGGAGGGGATACTCTGAGACAATTATATTGGCCTAATGGACTATTCGTTGATACGTTCAATACTCTATATGTGGCAGACTCAGGAATCATCGTGTGATGCGTTGGCCTGAAGGAGCGAAACAAGGCACTGTAATTTTGGGTGGTAAGGGCTGCGGAGTAAGATCAAATCAGTTCAACTACTTAAGGGGTTTGTCCTTCGATTCGCATGGCAATCTCTATGTCGTCGATCATTTTAATCATCGAGTTCAACAATTTTCTCTTGAACGAACAAGCAACGATGTATATATTTTTTCAAATAAACCATCATAAGTGAGCTGTGGGTGAGTTTAGAGATGACCTATATAATAATACTTACGCAACACACCCACACCCACGTATGGAATTCTACGATTCCAATGAGCATGATGAATTCGAGTTTATTTCACGTTCTCAACTGCTAGCAATCGTTCAAAAGGGTCAGAAATCTCCAAACGGAGTTATGTTAGCAGAAGGGTGGCAGATTTTAGTAGACTTCTTTCAGGAATTCGCCAACAGGAAAAAATACGGCTAATATAACTAATTAAATGCTTTCATTAGAGATCCTTAGGATGCAGAAATACGCTTCGTTGAAGAAAATATTGTGTGGTATAGGTAGGTACTGCTGCTCATTAAATTTTGCTGCTGACTATTGTCCATGTCTCAATATAATTTTGTTGATCACGTTCCATAAGTTCTTGCATTGACGATTGTAATTGTGATTCCACTTTCGAACGTTGTTTCTATCTTGAGGCTGTGAATGTGTGTGAGTATAGATGATCTAAATAATAATACTCATATCAACACATCCACATCGTCAATTTGAAAGTTTATTTGATTAGCAAATAAAACGTGTTCATTATTATCTAACTAAAGTTAAAATGTTCATCTTAAAGCGCGGACATAAATTGTTGAATAGCATTAATCGCTTGTGTGCACGCGTTCAGATAGATTCCTGTATCAAGGAAAAATCGGATTGACTGAGGATTTTTTCTTTCTTGTTCTTACCTGGAAAAGCAAGAAAATCATGCAGGACACCTTTGACAAGTAAAAATTCGGTTTTGACACCAGCCTTGTCAAGTAACTTTTGATATACTAAAATTTACACATTTTATTTTCTTTCATCTATTCAAATTTTTTGTTCATACCGTAACTATCGTCTCGAAGTGGATCCAACTCGGCAACGATAAATAAACATGGCGGTAAAGTATCAAAAGATTTGTTGAGAAGAACAGCTACTCGGTGATCTGTCAGATCTTTTGCATCACGAAATGCATTCAACTTGAACCTATGCAAAAAAGCTGTTAGCGCAATCCCTGTGGGATCAAAATGTAAAACACGATGAAACACCTTTTCTGGAATCCGTCAATCACGATCGGTGGTGGTCTGTGGAGCTTCTCTGTTACGGTCTGTATGATGACGTATGGAGTCTCAAGAAACCATCACAAACCGTTACAGAGAAAATAATTAATTTTTCTATATTCAGATCGTGTTTCACAAAAATATGAGTGTTTTTTTTATTAAGTAGGAATTCTATTTAATATTTACCACTCGAGAAGTGCAGGTGTAAGAATGTACATCGGGTCGCTAAATTCTTTGTGAGATGGTGTTCTGCATGCAACATCGAAAAATCCATAGACAAGAATCTATTTGAGAACGAAAAAGAGCCATTTCAATGAAGAATGCCACTGAAATCTAAACCTGAAAATCAATATTTTTGACCATATGACAAATTGATGCACTAATTTGAGCACCAACACTGTCACCTGCTACACCAATCTTTGCTGTTTGATGAACACCTGAACAAATCATGAAATACAAAAACGAACAGTTGTAAAAAAAACTAGACCATAAGACACTTTATTTTCAACAATATATCGAGTAACATCACATGAATCATCGAGCCATATTGGATATTTATGTTCCGGTGCAAGACGATATTGAACAGAGATCCATATGGTCTTGGTTGCACTAAACAAGTGCGGACACATACACAATTATATTTCATCATATTGTAAACAAGACAATTGCTCATGAATATTTTGATATGCATAATTAGATTGATTTTGTGGAAATTGTTCGTTAAAGCACATCTCATGGATTTTTTAGGAACAGGAGAAATACTTATGATTACATTTGAAGACAATTTAGGTTTTACGACGAAGCTCTATTTCTACTCGTACAATGATTCAAATTGCTCGTCTCAAACGGATCCTAGAAGAAGAAGACAATGTTGAAGAGCCACTATTTTTCCTACAACTATTACTAACAATTAATTGTGCGTAGAATGTCGGTCTGGCTCAACATTGGTTACGTTCAACCATTTAAACTCTCCGTGCATGCTATAGCTAATCAACTGCTAGCCACAAGTACTCTCGAACAATGAACTCCTTGAATTCATATATTGGATTTCATTTTTTCATCAATCAGATCGAAATATGAAGCATAAAAACATGACTTTACTTATATAATACCAAAGTCAAATTCTATTACTAAAAATGGTTTGGGTTTGTTGCATATCTAATTATGATATTTTTCTGTCATACTTTTACGGATATCGAGCCTGGTAGTGTGAAATATGGGATGCGGAGTTCTTACTCGGCAAGAGTATTGACAATTGTTTGGTGTGTATTGCAATTGCAACTAACCCAACCTGTTTTCAAATAATATTATAATTCACAATTAATCAACCATCAGAATTTTACCTCCACCATGAAAAAATATAACTAATTTATCCTTGTTAACATCTATTGGTGTATAAATTGTAATGGGGATCTCTAAATATACAATGGACTGATATGAAGGATCAGTTGATGATTATTGCAGTATAAATTCACCTGCACAGTTGACGAGCACGTGCTTTTCTTGTAGAGTACCCTTAAATGTTCCAATAAGTTTTTCATTACCTTTGATGAACAGTATGTCGTCTGCTTCACGCACTTCTTTGACTGTAAAACTTTCCGATGAGGACAATATTGAAACAGCTAGTTGATAGTAAGTATTTGTTTCATCGCTGAATCGGGAATCCCTATCAGAGCAAGAAAAATGAAAGTCTATTTAGCGATACTTATCTTAAGTAAATTTACATTAATAAATTGCTAGTATGTTGTAAAAAAATTGTAAAATGATAAAAGTATCTTTTTTCTACAGTGCAGAAGTCGCGTTATCAATTGGCAACGATCACTTCGAGTATCAATGAGAGTAGAGAAGAACAAAAATAAAACGAAATGAAACAAATGCATTGAGAGAGCTGAATTTTTATTGCCGCACGTGGAGAAAAAACACCGACAGTATAAGGTATACCCATATGACTCGTGCTACCTGGTTGTAACGAAGAAAACAAAAAATCCATGTATTCAATCATGTAAAATATTAACCGATCACGTTCTCCAAAAGTTGAAAAGGTGTCGAACCCACATAAAATTGTTTGGAACATTTTTTTTATCCTTTTTCATTGTGAAGCATTCAACATTTATCAGTAGAAGCCTTTCTTTTGTTGTCCATGTTGGTGTAATCAATATCTGTAACGTGTTTGTATGCAGAACAGAAAAATATATACGTGTCTACTCTCTGATTCAATTATTTTACTTAGTAACAAGAAAAACTCAACAAAGTTTTTTTTCTCATCGTTCCTTTTGGAAGACTTGGCAGCAGATTCTTTCTTAAATTATAGAAAAAGTATTGATAATCTCATACTATTGTTGTAAGGGTGTGGGTGCGGGTGTGGGTTCACAAAAGAACCAAAGCCTCACCCACACACCCAACTATCTTCCAGCAGTCACCTGCTTTCACTATTAACTTGTCAGATTTAATCAATATTGAATGCCAATATACCTCACAGCATGTAAAAGGTCTCACTTTGTCCACAATCGTCATCCGCCACAATCATTTAATCATTAATGTGAGCTAGCAAAGAGATCGATTAAGGTGAGAAAACAGTGATGGAACAATGGACGATTTACTTTCTTCTTATTTCATCATGTCTAACTGATTTTAACATGTATTCCATGGATCGCAGGGTGTGGGTGTGGGTGTGGCTTTGGTTCTTTTGTGAACCCACACCCACACACTCACACCCTCAAGTTCAATACATCATCGGAAATAGGACTCTTTAGACTATAAAAAATAAGTATTAAAGGTCTTTTTTACATTTCTCTTGTGATATAAAAAAATGAACAGAAAATAGAAAATAATGTTGCACAATGGCGAAGTTGTAAGCACATTGTTAGAGATGTTTGGTTTTTGACCTTTTCTCCAAGCTACATTCGTTTTGGAAACATATTTACTGCTAAAGTTGTAGTTCAGGCTTTTTTCTTTCCAACAACAAACATTTTTTTATAGCTTCAGAAGTCAGCAATGCGGTCTAGTAGGTGCTGACATTTTTGCCGAGACTTTTCCATCCTATGTTAGTACGTTAATAAGTTGTAATGAGCAAACAATAGAGATTAAGTATATCAAGAGGAACACGAAAAGAAGAGAAAATGACTGGATAACAAAAAGCTAATTAGAAGATTGACAAAGGAGAAATAAAAATAAAAAATACAATATGAAAAAGGAACGCCACTAAAAGGTAGGCATATAATATTATGATGAGTGACTGAGCAATGATGTGTTCAAAGTGTTAGCCTCATAATGTGACATCTGTTGACGCTAACAGAGTCAGTTTTTTGATGATGATGAATCAACAAAAAATGTTGGATTGAGGCGAATAAATGCATACTCGAATACACTACGACAATCCACCAGATTCGCTTCTTTGTGAAATATGGCGTAATTATTATGGCGAAACAGTTCAAAGAAGTTATGTGCGCGAAGACTTTCTTCATCGCCACTATTCCACGGAAGATGAATTTCGACAAAAATCTGGTGGATATATGGCATTGATTGCGAAGAAGGCAGATTTGTGGACTCTGCTGTTGATTTAGTAGAATCGAATAAATCGTCAAATAGATCAAATTCACTTCCCTCAATATCTACTTTAAGAATATCGATTCTTCGTTTGTGATGATGGAGCTCATTGATAATTCTTTTTAATGGTTTGCTCCCTTTCTTTTTTCCATTCCCTAATATGGCCTGATGAAACGTACAAATTTCATTTGGACACGTATACAAATCCTTGTCGAATGTATGAATTTCACTGTTAGGCAGTATATCTTTGACGGATTCTTCAAAACTAAAGTCACCATTTGAACCAAAGGAGTAAATGAGAGGTATTTGTGAGTTGTTTGTTTGCAATTTATATATATCGCATGCCCATTTACCACCATGTGATATACCCAAACGTTGCTCAAATGTACAATGAATTGTCGGCTCCCAATTATCAAGAAAAAACGAACTTCGTTTATTCGAAACATGATTCTTTTCATTTTGAGAGTAATGAAGAGATTTTCGCCGAGACCAATCCTGATCGTACTCACAAAAGAATCCATCTGATTCTTCGAGTGATAGACGACATTCTTCCTGAGGTATTTGGCTGTTGGATAATGATAATAAGAATGGAGAGGATGTTATGAAAACTTCTTTGGCAGTATTATTACCAATCAATTTCGTAAGCATGAAGAAACAAATATTTCCAATAATAAAACTTGAAACCAGAATGAAAATTTGCCTATTTACCATTATTTATTTGTTTTATGTGATCAGTTTGATTTTGTGAAACACGATCTGAAAAGTGTTGAAATATATAGGGTAGAAGTTTGGACCCATCCCCTACAGACAGTTACAGAGAAAAATTATCGAATTAGCTTGTGGATCCACTGATGGATTAGTTAATTAATTAATTTCTACCTACCGGTCTGTGATGGTCTCTAGAGACTCCATACATCAGAGTACACACCGTTATAGAGAAGCTACACAGACCATCGCATGCCGTGGTAGACGGATTCCAGAAAGGAATTTTCATCGTGTTTCACACTTTAGGATTGTGCTAACAGCTATTTTCTTTTAAAGAGCAATCGCTTCGACAAACAGTGAACTATCATATGGCTGCACCATGAAGAGTTGGATTGATAGAATGCTTTCATGTGACGATGAGGTTTAAGCCGGTGGTGCGTTGTTCCTGTAAATTGTAACATCTAAAAACAAAACGTATACACTAGCTAATATCCCAATACAAATGACGGCGTTACTGTTTTAGAAAAATCTTCATCTATATAATACTCTCATGGGTCCTACTGTTTGAAATTATTGTATTTTCGTGGCTTGCTTTGATAAGTAACTCTGCAAACACAACTTTACATAGAGATACACCCACTAGCGTTATCCTATGAACGTCAACACCGGGACGGTGCTTACATATATGAATACTTCTTCATATCAACTTGTTCGAAATTTTTTTACTTTGTGTGGATTTAATAAAAATTACATCAATCAAAAGAGCGTAAAATACTGGGTATATGTTGAATATTATTCACATTGGTATGTTCAAAGACCCAACAATTTGCTTTAAAAAACGATTTTCCAACAACAGTCATACATACATTTTTTGCTCTCTTATCCTACTTTTTTATACTAACGCGCACGCACTCTCGTATACGAGAGTGCGTGCGCATTAGCATGAAAAGGAAAGATAAGAGAGTAAAATATGTATGTATGACTGTTCTTGGAGAATCGTTTTTGAAAACAAATTGTTGGGTCTTTGAACATACCAATGTGAAAAATATTCAACATATACCCAGTATTTTACGCTCTTTTGATTGATGTAATTTTTATTAACTCCACACAAAGTAAAAAAATTTTGAACCAGCTGATATGAGAAAGTATTCATATATACAATGCTCAAGGTTAAATCTAACTACTATTTTGTCCTCACTCTATTTTTTACATTTGTTTTGCTGCCCTTGACGTTTGCCCATAATTTTCATTCTCTTTCGTTCTCTCTCATACCCAGGTCGATCAACCTGAGCCGTAAACGGCCGTATACCTATCATTCACGGTGAAAAACGGCAACCGTATTCTGTAGTCGTTTACTGTTGCCGTAAACGAAGTTATACGATGAAATACGAT